ATAACAAATCCTGCATACTAAACTGAATTACGTTGACAGGAAAGCAGAGTTACTTCTTTCCACCCCCAAAATGTCACACAGTCACAATGCTGAATATCTCCATCCCTCCTCCAGAGCCTGCAAGTCATAGCTAAAGCAGTGACTTTCGGATACGTACCAGCCACAAGTTTATAATATACCTCTATTACTTCTTCTGTGAAGTCAAAAACCATCGTAAAACCATTTTACGGGAGGCCTGCTAAACTACATAATGAACAGCAAAAGAGAAAGAGTGGCACCACACATTATAAGCTGACATGCAAACAGAACATGGAAAGTGGAACAGCGAAACTTAACTGAAAAATCAGTCATTCAGGCTGAGAGGGACTTCACATTTCTAGTTCAGCTTTCTGTTCAAAGCAGGACCAGCTCTGAGGTCAAACCAGGCTACTCAGGGCTTTGCCCACATGGGTCTTGAAATCCTCCAACCTCCTCCTACAGAGGCAGGTAGGGCACACTGGAGAATCTGCTCCACTGCTTGACTGGGAAAAAGGTTTTCTCTACAATCTCCTGGAGCCTTTCTTGTATCAGTTTTCACTCACTGGTCTTGTTGTCCCACTGTGCACTGCTGTGCAGTAACTCCATCTTCTTGATAACCTACTTGTAAGCTTTGTAAGGCTGCTATTAGGACCTCCCAGTTTCTCTTCTCCAAGCTAGACAATCGGAGCTGCTCTACATTCAGGTCCCTTCGCTCTTGAACACATGAACCGTTCCACCAATTTGGTAGAAATCACAGATATGAGGAGCTTGCACTCCACTGCCTTCTCCAGTACTCAATAAAGATGTTAGACAGAACAAGTTTGAGAAGAGCCCCCAGTGGTACTTCATTTATTATCATTTATATATAATCATTTATTATCACCTTGAATGTGCAGTACAAACCACTAACCACTGCCTAAATCACAGAGTTTTTTTAGTTTGGAAGGCACCTCTGTAGATCAGTCCTCTTATTCAATGCAGAAACAGCTAAAGCACAGACTGCTCATTCTTATGGAGCCAAGTTTTGAGTATCTCAAAGAATGGAAATTCCAGTGTTTGATCGCCCTTAAGATTAAATATGCTTTCAGATACATCAATAAGATCAGCTTGAGCCTTCTCTTCTCCAGACTGAACAGCCCCACCTCTTTCAGACTCTCCCCAGATGTCACAGGCTCTAATCCCTCTACCACCTCCATGGCCCTGCACAGGGATCACTCTGCTCTCTCCATCTCTCTCATGTAACACAGAGCCCAGAACTGGACACAGAACTCCACAGGTGCCTCACCAGAAAGGAGAAGGGGAGAAGGATGACATCACTCCTCCTGCTCCCAGCACTCTGCCCAAAACAGCCCAGGGAGCCAGGAGCTGTCCCTGCCACAAGCACACGCTGCTGCCTCACGCTCTGCTTCGTGTCCAGCAGCATCCCTGGGCCCTTCCCCTCAGAGCTGCTTTCCAGACACTCAGGCACAGCCTGTACTCATGCCTGGGGTTATTCCTCTCCAGCTGCAGGATTTGTAGAGATATGACTTCCATTTCATAAATCTACACTGACTACCAGCTTCCTGTTCTTCATAAATTTGGAAAGTGCCTCCAAGATTATTATTTTAATCATCTTTCAATGGTTCACATGGGGCTGACCAGCCTGTAGTTTTCAGCAAAAAAAAGAGGCTTCCTGCTCTTCATGAAGACAGGAGGTGCATCCTTCTGGTTTTAATGAACCTCTCCTAATCAGAGGGACTTTTTGAAGACCATCAAGCAAACCTCCTGATATCAGTTAGCTCCCTCAGAAAGTACCAAACCAGGGCCTTGGCTTTGCACATGACCAGTTTGCTTAAATATTCTCTAACCTGATTCTCTTCCACAGAGGGAAGGTTTACCTGGACTTTCCTATTGGTTTAAGAGTCCTGAACAGGCCAACGTCTTTCCTCTTCAAGTCCAGGCTTGCAACCCTGCTTTCTGCCTATCTCCTCCTGTCTGCATCCTGAACGTTGTCATTCCCCGTCAGTGCCACTGAGGCTGCCCTCAGCCTCCAGATGCCCAAATAGTTTTGTTTGAAGGTATGAGATCCAGTAGACAACACACTCCAGAAACCTCCTGAACTGCTCACACTCAACCCAGCAAATAAACAAGCTACACTCTCCCTCCAGTAGATATCAGAGTGATTGAATATGAGCTATGCTATTGTATCTTCACAATCCCAATCCCACAATCTGAAGCTGCATGCAGACAAGTAATTCCTCCTTTTCATCTAATGCTGTCTGCATGAGAACACAGACATTTCAGAGAGGAAACCAGCTGTGCTGACTTCCCAGAAAGAGTAGAAAAGTTTTCCCTGTAATTCTGAAAAACACTGCCTTTTGTTTATATGGGTATACTTGGGAAAGACCCCCTTCAGTCCTGATTTTTTTGATTATAAGGTCCCCATTGTTTGTATCACACTTTGTTTGCTGACCTGGCCTACCAATTGCTCATAAGATAGTTAGCAGAGATGCTTTTGCCCTAATCAGATGAATCCTATCTTTTCCAAGCAACCCTCAAAAAGACTCTCATGATCATAAAACTAGAATTCTATTGCTGACACCAGCTATGCAACCAGCTTACCCACAGATCTCTCCACTCATCCTAATGAACTTTGCTGTCACCAAAGGATCAGGGAGAATCCACCCAGGCTCTCACACTCTTGGCCATCACTCCAGAGCCATATTGTCACAGCTGATAATTTCAGATCCCTTCAGGTGGTCTCATTGAAACCTACCAGGCAGAGCAGCAGGGAGTAGTAGCCTGAAACCAGACAGGCTTTGGCAGTCTTACCACAGTGTTCCAGGTCCTGGCAGCCAACAAGCCTCTCTAGATTACAAGTCAGTCCAGGACAGGTCCCATCAGCAGATGGGAGTCTCCAACACTCGCAGGAGGGAATTTCCCAGCTGTTACCACTTCCCACTTTCTCCTGGTGCTTCTTCATGGCTCAGATTTACCAGCTTGGGTGCTTCACTGGACTGAGCACCAGACCCCCATCACCTACAAAAGCATTGAATCTGTTCTCTAATTGCAGATTTTGAAGCGGAGCAGAGCCTTCCTCCTGGAATCAGAACTTATAAACTCTGGGTTTTCAGGCTTGCCATTCTGGGAGTCTCTAAACCCACACCAAGAAGCACAGACTCCATCTGCCCTTCATTCAGCAAAGTTGTGGGTTTGGGTTCTTGAAACCTCAGGGTCCTGAAGACCTGGAAAGCCCAACCATCTGAGTTCAGCTAACTAACAAATTTTTACAAATATTTCTAATATATGAAGTAGCATCAATATTAGCCATATATATCATACACATACATACATAAACATACATACATACACATACATAAATATAGTTTACCCAGACCAAGGTGTATTTGGATCAGAAGTGTATTTACACAATAGCTCTCCAAAAACTACTGGATTCAAGCAGTGGCATCAAGGTACACACATCAATGAAAATTTTAATCTCCACAGAACACAACAGGACTGTGGCTCAGAGAAGGCAAAATTTAGATTATTTAGCATGGTATTTCCAGTTTGGTTGAACCCCAGG